GCATGTGCCCACACTCAGACATATACACATGGTTAAACATAAAAATACACCTTTTTTTTTTTGAAAAGAAACAAACAATTCCCTTAACCATATGTAATCACTCTGATCCTTTAAACTTTTCTGTCATTAAGAAAAAAAAGTGATGGTCAGTGAGGTGGACCCTGCCACAAAGCCTGACATGTTGAGTTTCAGCTGCAGAACCCACACAGTAGAAGGGAGGAGTGATTCCTGCAGGTCTCCTGACCTTCCCACTCCCACAATTGCATAAACATAACCTTAAAAACAATGTTTCCTACCTCCTAGAGAGACTTTATTAACAGGTTGGGATGCACAAATATTGAGAAACATCCATCTAGCCACACAGACAGTTTTCCTAGTTTTCCTGCACTGTGGTGGCACACTGCAGCACAAACAGAATAGAGGGGAGCGCAGCCTCAACGCCATCAGGCTCTGTGCTGTAGCAGCCGTGTGCACCTGAGGGCAAATGAAGTTGGATGCATGCCCAGGCATCAGAATCGTAAAAAGAAATGCATACAGTGACTCCTCAAAAACAGCTAGTAGGTCTGCGGTGACATGGAATTGCAGCCAGGCCCACATTTCCAGTGAGAGTGTCCGCTGGTCACCTGGAGGCAACACTTTTTTAAAAAAGAATTCATTTTTTGTATGTGGTATTTTGCTTGTATGTCTGTGCACTACATGTGTGGCTGCTGAGGCCAGTAGAGGGCACTGGAGTCCCTGGGACAGTATGAGTCACCATGTGGGTGCCGGGAATTGAACTCAGGTCCTCTGGAAGAGCAGCCAATGCTCTCAACTGATGAGTCATCTCTCCAGCCTAGGGCACCCTCTCTTTTATTTTTAAAATGTATTTACTTTGAAACAGAGTTTCAATCCTGTCGTCTAGGATGAACAAGCACTCAGAGCCATTTTTAGTCTATGCCTCCCCAGTACTGAAATTAGAAGCATGCACTGTAATTTAAAAATTATTTACATTTAATGATACAACTATTTATCCTTAAATAGTATAAAACTATTTACCAAAAAAAGAGGCGGGGGACAATATAGAGTTGGCTAACATTCTGATACCACGAGAAATGTTTTCTGGCTTCTTCTGTAGCTCAAATACTGAGAAGAGTGAGCCTACATACAAGGGATGAATTGGTCTGAGAAAGCATGCAGGTTGATAATCCATATTGTTAAATTCTGTTTACTCTGTTAGAAGTGCCAACTTGCTACCTCTAACCATATGGCTGCAGGTGTATGAGCCATCTTAGATGTCCCAGGAATCATAGCATGGAGAAATCCCAAGTTTCTGTAGAGGAATGGTTCACTACAGAAATCTAGAACTGTCCATTAAGTCCTGCATAGCTTGTGAAAACAAACCAGGCTTGTCTAGTTTCCCAGGTTGTGGGGGTGTGTGTCGAACTGGTAGTGAGATGGAGCGGGGGATGAAGACGCCTGCCACCAAACATGTTGCCCTGAGTTTAGTCTCAGGGACCCACATGGTGGAAGGAGAGAACAGATTCCTGAAGGCTGCCTTTTGACCTCCATACTCATGATCACAGTGTAAATAATAAATGTTTTTTTGGTTTTTAAAAAATATTTTGGGGGAATGGAGAGCTGGCTGAGTGGTTAAGGGCACACTTCCTGAAGACCTGAATTGGATTCCCAGCACCCACATGAGGGGGCTTATAACTGTCTGTAACCCAGCTCTAAGGAGTGGATGCCTCTGGCCTCTGTGGACATTGCATTCATGTGCACCTATCCCCACCCCCACCCCCACACAGTTAGAATAATAAAAATTTTAAAAAGATATTAAAATATGTTATGTATATGAGTGTTTTGTCTGCGTGTATATCTATATGCCTCACAAATGCCTGGTACCCAAGGAGGTTAGAAAGGGGTTTTGGATCCCCTGGGACATAACAAATGTTATGGACATTTGTGAGCTGCCGTGTGGATTCCGGAATCCAGGTCCTCTGGAAGCGCATCCAGTGTACTTAACCCTTGAGCCATCTCTTCAGCCCCAATAAATATTGTTTTTAGAAGGGGAATGGGAGAGAAAGATATCAGGCATTCTGCTCTGGTCTCTGTATTTATTTGCACAGACACTTCTTGGGCCTGCACACTTACTTGTATACACATAAATACAACACACAGACACATACAAATTGTTATTGTTTTCAAAACAACATATCGAACTTGCTTCTTTATTAGAATGTAGTTACCTTTTCACACTAGTAATTAAAAAAACAAGACCCAGATTATATACAATAATACATGTGCATATATATGTATATGCTCAATGACATTATCCCATCCCTGGGGCCCACATGGTGGAAGCAAAGACCCAACTCTAGAAGTTGTCTTCTGATCTCCACACCTGTGCTTTGGCCTGTGGGTGAGCAAACAAACACACAATAAATAAACAAAACATTAAAACATTAAAAGAAATTTAAAAGTGCAAACAATTAGCAAGGTCATGTTCTGGACAAGAAGGACAAGAACGACAGGTCAGTTCTTTACTCAGAACAATTAAGTTTGAGGACACTTCCCCTTTGCCTCCAGCCAGCATCCAGCCGGGCTCATCTGCCTTCCACCTTCCATGTCATGGAAACATCAGTCTGCAGCCCAGGTCTCATATCTGTAGCCACAACGCTTTGCTCCCACTTGATCCGATATCTTCAGGCTCACTGTCATGTAAGGGTTTTTTGTATCTTTTTCATTACCAGCTTCTTGAAAATAAAGAAAAACTTCAATTAACTCTGGACAATTTGAAATTTCTTTAGAGTCTCAAATATTGTCAGTCTGTAAACGTACCTTTTTGTTCACTGGCTATTGGTCCAGGACTTTTTCTACCACAATTTTTTTCAGGGTCTGCCTTTCCCACTTTTTTACCCTTTCCATTGCGTTTCTTTCCCATTTTTGCAATGTAGTTTTATTGGAGCCCATTGTTTGGATCGCAGATCTGAAGAGCACTTCAGTGGTCCAGTGGTCTGTGTACCTCTAGCTAGAGTCACCCTCATTTTAGTGAATTTATTTCCATTGTACAGTTTTGAAGTTTATGTATTTTAGTGATTATAGCAGCCTATGGCCTCAGAAGTCTTATTTTCTGTCAGGTTCAAATGATTACCTAAACCTTCTCATGTAATGTTTTATTAGGAGTAATCAGAACTGGATAAAAAGTAAGCGAGCAAAGTGTCTGCCAATCACCCCCAGAGTCTCGGATGCCTCTGTCAGCTGTGCCTTTGGTAGGATCAGGTGAATTCGTTTTGATTTGGGAATCACAGCGTTGCTTTAGCTGTTTGAGTGTTGTAACTTCTTGAAGAACACATTGAAATGCAGTAGCTCCAACTAGCAGCAGACTGGCATGGGTACAGCACAGCTAGGTCCTTCCCAACCTCCCTTTGAACTACCTATTTTCTTTGCTAAATAAATCTCCTAATTAACACTTTCCAGATGGTTGTTGCAGTTTTTGCTAGACGATGAAAAGAATTAATAAACCCTATTGTAACTGTATCAAGCCACAATCGCATGCGCTTGCAAGCACAATCCTTGTCGGTCTCTATAGGAGTACTGCATGAATAAAGTTAAATATTCCTTCAGTCCACGCGCCGGGTTTAAAGAACTGCGCAACTCGCTCGCTGCCCACGCGCCTTCTCGGAATAGGGAAAACCAGCGCTGCTGGGAGCCCTGGGCGGAGTCTCGGCCGTCCGTGGGCAGTCCAGGCCGGAAGCCACCCTCGGCTGCAGGAACTGGCTGCACCAGTGAGTAGCGAGCTGCGGAGCGGTCCAGGGGGTCGGAGCCCTAGTGGAGGAACCCAGCCAGGGCCGGGCGGAGCCTTAGGGAGGGGGCGGGGCTAAATCCGGGGAGGAGCGGGGCAGAGTCCGGAGGTGTGGC